TTTCCCCCCCTCCGCCTCCCCCGTTCCCTGTCCCCTTTTCTCTACCCGCGGACAAAGCGGAATTTTAAGAAGGATTTGAATGTTATTTCGGAAAGAAACATCTACGACGGCCGTAAACGGCGTGGGAAAAACAACAAGTGGTTGTGAAAACGGGCACGGAAAGGGGGGAAGAAATGACAGCACCGCCCCGGGACGGGTTCCGCTGCCCGAGCCGTGGGGCTGCGAGAGGCCGGGAGGGCTTTAGGGCAGAAAGAAACAGCGATCCTTTGGCCGCACCGCTCCCTGCGAGGCCATCCTCCCGACCCCCGCTGTTAATACCGTCCAGGCTCCTCTCTTTTAGCGCTCCCAGCCGTGCGCTTTGCCCCCCCGACGGCAGACCGAGCACGGCCGCGCATCCCCGCTGCCCACCGTCCCGTCTCCACGGGGATTCCCCCCCCCCCCCCGCCCAAAATCCCCGGGACGGCTTTTCATCGCTGACCCCCCCGATCCTCCATCCCCAGGCTGGGTGCGCTTCGGCCAGTCCTTCCGAGGGCAGGAAAAGGGAGCCGGGAGCGGCACTGCCGCACCGTCGGGGCCGCACGGCCGGGGAAAGGAGGGCGAAACCCGGCAGAACAGAGAATGCAGGGGGAAAAAAACCGCCAATAACACTTTAATAGAGTTCTGTGGCAACCTGGCTAGTCGCTACCAGAATACACATTTATAAGCCATAAATAAAGCATACAGAAACGATAAATTAATCAGATCCAAGTAGTTTACTCTCCCGGTAACATCAAGTGTTTGTTTCAATTACAACGATCTATCCTGACTTTTTTTTTTTTTCCGCTTTTTTTTTTTTTTTTTGCTTTTTTTTTTTTTTTTTTTTTCCCCCTCCCCCTTTGTACAATTTTACAAGACTTTCCATCCTCAGATCCCAAACTCGCATGGATTTCCCACCAAACGAGGGCTTCGTTTTCTTTGCGTCCGTTTTCGTCTGTTTGTTTTTGTTTTTTTTCCTTTTCCTCATCACTTCCACACAAAAAAATAGATATATTTAGACCTCCTTGCAACGACGACAACGAAAAAAATAATAAACCAGCCCCAACAGAAAAATCCCTCTCCCCTACACCTCCCTCCCACCAAACTGAACCACCCCGCAAGGCAAACCAAGGGGACCGCAGGGTCAGGGTTAGGGGGTGGCACACGAGGTGCACCCTGCTGCTCCCCGAGTGGATGCAACCACCTGGAGCCTGCAGGGATCAAAACAAAAAATAGATAGATAGCTATATGGGTAGGTACCGTGCTCGGCAGCGCTCACAGTCCATCACGCTGCTGGGGGACCGCGCGGGGCGGGGGGGGGTTTTCCCCCTTTGCCTTTAGGAGGAGTTCATGATGGGCCGGGAATACACACCTTGGTAGTAAGAAGTCTCTCCGGCCAAAGGGGAGGACTCCAATGGGTTTTTGTTCGTTACGGGCCCCATGGCCAGGCTGGCGGGCACGGGCGAGGCGTAGCCCGAGTAGTGCATCACCTGCTCGTAGGCCTTGAGGTCCATTTTGTGCGAGGGGTGGTGGTGGTGGTGCGGGTGGTGGTGGTGCTGCTGCTCGGAGGACGACATCAGGTTGTTGATGGAGAAGGGGTGGTTGAAGGCGTAGTGGTGCTCGGGCTTGAGGTGGGCGTCGTGGGGCAGCCCGGTGTGCGGCGGAGCCAGCAGGTGCTGAGCCGGAGAGGCCGCCGACGGCTCCCCGGGGCTCGGCCCCGCCGCTGCACCCTTCAACTCGGCCAGGGCGCGCTTGTGGTCCCGGCACGGCGAGGCACTCGCCGGTGACTCGGCGCCTGCCGAGCCCTCGGAGCCCCCCGAGGAGCTGCCCTCTCCCAGTGGCTGGCTGGGGGGCTGCCCCGGCCCCTTCTTGCCCCCGCCGCCGTCCTTGGTCGCCAACTGCTTCTCACACTTGAAGCGCTTCTGGCGCCGCAGGTAGCAGCCGTTCTCAAACATGTTGCCCGAGTCGGGGTGCAGCGTCCAGAAGGAGCCTTTGCCCGGCTTGTCCGGGGAGCGGGGCACCTTGAGGAAGCAGTCGTTGAAGGAAAGCGAGTGGCGGATGCTGTTCTGCCAACGCTGCTGGTTCTGGCGGTAGAAGGGGAAGAGGTCCATGATCCACTGGTAGATCTCGCTCAGCGTCAGCATCTTGTTGGGAGACTGTTGGATGGCCATGGTGATGAGCGAGATGTAGGAGTAGGGGGGCTTGGCGTGCGTGTAGCTCCGCCGGTACGTCTTGGGGTCCCGCGAACGGTTGAGGTTGGACTGCCCGTAGATGGGGCTCATGGAATTCATGTTGGTGTAGGGGGCCAGGGCGTTCATTGAGCCCGCTTGGCCTCCCATGGGGCTCATGCTGGGGCTCAGGTGGGCACCCATCCCCGCCACACCGGCCGAGCCCATGCCGGCCATGGCCCCCGCACCTGGGGACATGCCAGCGAGTGAAGGGCTCATGCCCGTGTTGGCGTAGGACATGTTCATGGAGGTGGCTGCCGTCATGTTGGCCGTGGTGCTCATGGCCGACATGGTCATGTACGTGTTCATGCTGTTCATGCCCAGCCCTGCGTTCATGTTGCTCACCGAGGAGTAGCTCTGAGGGGACAAACGAGAAAGAGAAGGGAGATTTGGGAGGATTGGAAATGAGAACGGTTCCCGAGTAAGGCACCCCCAGCCCAGCCCTGCAGCCTCGGCGCTGCGGAGTGGGAAGGGTTAAACCCCCGGGGGGCATCGGCGGGAGGTGGGGGGGGGTGTTGAATCTCTCATTAAAAAAACAAAAAAAAAAAAAAAAAAAAAAAGAGGAGCCCAAATTTAGATATTGAAAAAGTCGGGATCGCAGCGAGCTTGGAGAATCCGAGCTGGAGGAAAAGGGACAGCCCCGCGCGAAGCGAGAAAAATACCTTGTGTGGGGGGTGGGGGGAAGGGTAGGGGGAAAGGAAAAAACGCGAATCGCTGCCCGGCAGCCCCGATCGCTCCCGGGGGGGGCCCGGCCCCGCGGTCCCCGCTCCCCCCCCCCCCCCCCCCCCCCGCTGTCCCCCGGCCGCGGTTCGGCGCCTCGAGAATATCTGGTGACAAAGTTGAGGTTTTCCCCCCAAGGATCCCGACGCGGGGATCGGGCCGCCTGGCTCCCCCCCTTACCTCGGGCTCCCCGTAGTAGTTGCTCCAGTCCGTGTGCTCATGGCCTTCCATTTTCACCGCTCCCAGCATACTGGAAGTGGAGTGCATGGCAGTTTAAAATTTAACAGACACAACAAACGACGACGCAGAGAGAGAGAGAGAGAGAGCAATCCAAAAAAAAAAAAAAAAAAAAAGTCGCCAGCCCTCCCTCCCCTCTGCCGCGCTCCCTCCGTCGGAGCCGCTGGAGGAGGAGGAAGAGGAGGGAGGGAGGAAGGGAGGGGGCACCGCCGGGGCCGGGGTTTTTTTTTCGCCGCCGCTCCTTGGGTGGGTTTCCGCAGCGCTTCGCGGCGAAGAGTCGCCCGGAGGCGATGGAGGAGACGGAGGAGGAGGAGGAGGAGGAGGAGGGAGGAGGGAGGAAGAAGAGGAGGAGGGAGGAAGAGGAGTACAAGTGCTGCAGTGACGTGGGTGCCCGAGTGATATAGCACGGAGCGGCCGGGCGAGCCTCCAATCCCCAGGTCCTCGGCTGCCCATTTGAATAATCAGCTCACACCTAGGCGGGAGCGGCTGCTCCGCGGCCCCCCGACCAGCACCCCGGCGCGGCTCCCGGAACCCCCCCGCGGCGCCCCCCGGCCCCGCAACGGGAGGGGTCCTACGGGACCCCCACTCCCCCCTCACGCCGACGGGAGGGGTCCCCTCGCAAGGCCCAAAGGGAGCGGTCCCCCGGTCCCCCCCCCCGACGGCCGCAGCCCCCCGAGCCGCACGCACCTTTCTCCCCGCGGCTGCTCGGCCTCAGGCCGCCTTCCTCCCGGCCGTGGCCCGGCTCTGCCTCATGCCTTCCCGCGGCTCTGCCTCAGGTACCTACAACAATTTCGTAACTAAAACAAACAGGAAGGGCAGGGGAAGGCGGGAGCTGGGAGAGGGGAGCGCGGCGGGGCCGGGCTCAGCGCCGTCGGGGGACACGCAGCCGGAGCGGGGCCCGGTGTTTCCGTCTGGGCAGCGCCGCTCCGCACCCACGGACAGACCCACGGACGCTGCTCGAGTGTAGCCGTCGGGGAGCGGCTGAGCGGCTGTCTCCGTCCGTCCCTCCCTCCTTCCTTCTCTCCTTCCCTCCTTCCAGAGAGGAAGCGCAGCCCCCTCCGGGTGCCCGACACCTCCCGGCCCCGCAGTATTCCCCCCCCCCCGCCCGGTGGGGGACACGGAGCTGCCTCCCTCCCCGTGCCGTTCGCCCTGTACCTACCTGCCCGGGCACCAGGCGGGGCAGCGCGGCACCGACCTTTTCTCTCGGTTATTTATTTGGGTTCTCTCCCGGCGTTAACCCCAGCACCGCTCGGCGAGGTTAGCGGGAGCTTTTAAACATTAACACAAACCCAACAGCCGAGGGGCTTCGCCGGAGGGCTTTTCCCCTCGTCCCAACGCCCTCGGCAGCAGTCTCCAAACGAAACTAGCCTCCTATCGCGATAGCCTCGGCGATAGAAGCAGCCCGCCTCCTCCCGCCCATATTTAGGGGAGATGGGGGCTGGCTGGAAGCGAAGGGGGAGACCCCAGGGGGGCTGCCCTCAGGGCGGGGACGCGCCGGGAAAAGGGGGATTTGCCCCCAAAAAAGGGGGGATGGGGGGGGGGGGAGGAGGCCGGGTAGGGCTGTCCCCAGGTCTAAGAGCGGTGGCGCGGCGCCCCCTGTCGCCTGCTGTCCCCAATCCCGGAGGGCCGGGGGTGGAGGGGCACCCCGCCTGCCCCCCGGGGGACCCCCCGACGGCGGAGGTCACCTTCTCGTGCATCACCTAGGAGCATCACCAGCGAGCACATGTGCTGGGCGAGGCCGAGCCTTCCCTCTGTACCGGCATCGTGTGGTCCTAAATGGGAGCCCCGTTGGCACATCATGGGGTCCTCCATCTCCCATCCTTTATCTCACAAGTCTAACTGCTATGCCGCTACCCTTGCGCAGCCCAATAAAATTAATATCTTAAGAGAACAGGGAAAGAAAGCAGTGGAGTAGACAGTCTTGCCTTGTAGAGAAACATTTTTTTAAATACCCCAGATGATAAAAATTGAAAATGTTCGGCGGCGTCTTGTTTAAACACACCTGCGTGGGCTCTGGAGAACCGCACCGGCCATTTAAAAAATGACTTCTTCTCTTTAATATTTAAGTAATATTTATTTTAAATTTAATTTTTTAAATTGCATTTCTATTTGCATTGGGAGCCATGCCTGGAGGAGCCGGTGTCCCCTTCCTGCAGGCAGGAGGCAGGGGTTGGGCCACCCTGGGCAGCATTTGCCACCATTCTGGGCCACCTCCACCACTGACTGGTGATGGTGACAAGCACATCCCCTGCTCTTCTTGCTGGGTGAAGGCATTTCCCTGCAAAGGAAAATCAAAAATCAGCCCCTCCCATCCTTCCCGCCCCCCCTCCTTTACAACTGTACCTTATTCTTGACAACAAACAGGGTAATTATCTCCCTTCTACTGATAATTATCATAATTAATCCAATATAATGAACTCTCCCAATTGCCCTGCTGTTTCAGACTAAATGCGGTGGTTGTTTTGTTTTGTTTTTTTTTTTTTTTCCCTGTAGCTGAGGAACTGCAAGACAGGAGCACTCACTGCCCTGTGGAACAGAAGCATCTTAATAACAGGAAGAAGGAGCACACATCACAGCACTGGGTGATGGCACTTTCCCCCATAAGATCCCTGGAAGCAACCAAAGGGCTCTGTGTGGCTGAGGGCATCCCGAGCAGCTCTCACTCAGGCAGGCAGAACAGACCCTGGGGTCATTGCTAGTGCCATATTTCTGCTCCCAAGGTCAGGGCTGAAGGGCAGGATGTGTACAGGGGGTGCTTGTGGGGTCCCTACAGTGCGCTGCCATTTCATAGAACCATCTGAGTTGGAAGGGATCCTTGAAGGCCATCCATTTCAACTCCCCTGCAGTGCACAGGGACACCCACAGCTCCAGCAGTGCTCACAGCCCCCGTCCAACCTGACCTTGTGCAAGGATGGGACACCATCACCTCTCTGTGCAACCTGTGCCACTGCCTCACTACCCTTCTGGTAAAAACTTCTTCCTCATATCCAGCCTACATCTCGCCTCTTTTAGTTTGAAACTGTTTCCCTTTGTCCTATCATTTCTGTGGGGCATTGCAGGAGCCGGTATTCTTTGCTCGCTCAAGGACTCAGATAGGAGCACTGAAATCAATGGCATCCCATATAGAAGGGATCCTCCCATCTCCATCACCCACCCAATGATGCTGGCCATCAGCCTCGGCCCCGCAGGCAACGACAGCAATTACACTCTGCTGTATTGACTGAACTACTTGACAAATTCTCCCACCTAGTCTTTCCTAATTAGATTCAACGTTTAATGGAGCTTCTTAATTCATTAAAAAAAAAAAAAAAAAAAACGTTTTCCAAGGTTTTAACAAGTCCAACAAAAGACAAATCCGGAGCATGCCAAAATTTAGTGATTTTAATCTAACTCGCAGCCCAAGGAGATGCTGTGGTTTGAATGCTGGAACCCCTCTGGCAGCAGATACTGCTGGAACTTGGTTGTCACCTAGCTGGGAAGTACCAGGAGATGCCTTTCATTCTTACAGAGGTCATAGATCAAGGCGTTATCTGAGTTGGAAGGGACCCTTAAAAGCCGTGTGGTCCCTGCACTGGACAAGGACACCCACATCTCCAGCAGTGCTCAGAGCCCCATCCAGCCTGAGCTTGGCTGTCAGGTCCTTACAGTCCTTAACAAAAAGATCCAGATGCCCATCTTGGTCTCGACACAGCCCTAAAAGCAGAGGGAAGAACTCCGTTGTCACCCATGGAAACTTTTGGAAGTGACACCTTTAAGGGATGCTCCACATGTTCTGCCTCCTGCACTTATTCTTCCCAGGGCTCCAACACAAAGCCAGTTGTCACAGAGCAAACCTAGTGCAGCTGTGCCATGCCTCATCCACACACAACCCTGTGGCTGCCATCCTGGCCTGGCCGCCATCTCTATTTTTGCCGTATCCAGGTGTTATTTTTGCATCCCTCCCCACTCTCTAATTATTCAAGGCTCTGAGCTGCTGTACCACAAGGTGCCATAAAGCACTGGAAGCGCTCAAAGGATGCACCTGGGGAAACGACGTCACTCAGGATGGTGAGTGGGGGACAGTTTGGTGGCACTTCAGGATGCTTGAGGACACCAGGGGACAAGGAACCCATGCACAACCCATGGACAAGATGATGCCTTCTGGAAGGACTCCACAACAAAATCACCTGGCCTCCCAAAGTGTTCAGGCTGCGGCTGCTGTTAGAGGAAATATTTTTTTTTATGTTTAATGATCAGTTTCTGAAAACTGAAATGCCTTTGGTTTTACAATGAGAAAACAAACAGAAAAATTGAATGTGGATACTCCTCCCAAACAGCCCTGCTTTAAAACCTCCCTGTTATTTTCCAACAAAACCCCTTTTTTGCTGGAGAGCATCCAGTGGCGGAAGGTACGGCAGGAGGAAGCAGCAGCTTTCAGCACTAAATGGGTGCAAAACAGCCCTCACCGTGTTGTTGCAGGTCACCCCCATCATGCTGCACCCCATGGGCTGTGGGGTGTGAGATGCCTGGGCAATGGAGGGTGGCACAGGCTGCCCAGGGTCACCATCCCTGGAGGTGTTCGAGAACTGTGGGGATGTGGCAGTGAGGGATGAGGTCAGTGGGCACGGTGGGGGTGGGCTGGGTTTGGGCTTGGTGATCTTAGGGGTCTTTTCCAACCTTAATTCTTCTATGATTCCATGCTCGGGAGATAAGGGATGCTCAGCTGATGAGGGATGCTTAGGAGATAAGGGATGCTCGGGAGATGCAGGATGCTTGAGTGATACGTGATGCTGCTCCTGTGCACTGAGCAGATCAAACCCTTCGCAGGCTGAGCGCCTGCCTGACGGACATTTATAGCCTTCTGAGTCATTACCAGCCTTGTTTAAACCAGTTTTACCTGGCCAAGACCTTTAAAATAGCCTCATTTATCCCGAAAGGCTGCTGGGGTATAAATAGCAGGGCGAACCGCTCGCGGAGCATCGAGCGCGGGGAGCAGGGCAGCACGCATGGCTCACAGCCCAGCTGGCACCCCCAGTGTGTCCCCATCCCCACAGTGCTGAGACAAGCCCCCAGGGACCCCGTCCCCTTTGGGATGGGGAGCAGCAGCTCTCAGGAACTCTGTGTCCCTGGCAGTGCTACCGGCAAAACAGCCAGAGCGGAGATTTCTGCTCCCAAAAACACGGAGCTGCCTGGGGCTGGGAGCCCGTCTGTGAGCCTGCGGTTTTGTGACCACTAATAGCAGCCCTGTGCCCTGCAGGATCACCCCATAAATCTGACGTGGGTCAGACGCGGGCACACAAGCACGGTTCTGTTTAATTAGCACAAAACTGCTGCGGTGATGGGCCGGGGGGAGATTTGGGTCTCAGATGAGCACCCCACGCCTCAGCGGATCCCACTGCCAGGTGAAAATCTCCAGCTCCAGCTGTAGGATTGCCATAACTTTGGCCAAACAAGCTTTTATCTGACT